GCATTAAAGTAACAATATCCGATACAATAATCGAAGACATCTGAAAGTTACGCATAGGAAGGTGAGCACTGCAATAAAAGCCATTATTTCTCTTACTATTTCATTGTTCAAATATCTGTTTATTTCTATCGAGTTAATAGAAGAGAAAAAAACATTTTAATTATAATTTGAAAAACAAAATTGTTTTAAATAAAATTTATAGGAATACTTACTTTTCTAGATTGAATTTTTCATTTCAACGTTGCATTTATTAATTTCAATATTTTTAATGGTGGCCAAATTATCAAAGGATAGTAGATTCTCTTATGAAAACGTATTGAAAATCTTCGTTATTTGAAAGCAGACGAATTTTAAAATATTTCCAAATATTTATTAAAAATTAGTTTTTAAGTACAAAAGAGATGAATGGAAGATATAACTGAAATAAAAAGATTCTTTCGAAAATTTCTTTATTTAATTTTCCGTCGTTAATTGTTTTCCTCCATTCCTGCTTCCTTTTCTTTTCACTTTTCCTTGTTTTCTTTCCTTTTCTTTCTTCCTGCTTCCTTTACATTTTCCTTCTCCTCTGCTTCCTTTCCTTTTCCTTCACTGATTTATTTTCTTTTCCTCCCCTCCGACTTTCTTTGCTTTTCTTTCTTCCCTGTTTCTTTTATTTCCTTCTTCTGAACATGTTTTCCTTTTCAGTTTTCTTTGCTTATTTTCTTTTCCCTGTTTCTTTATTTTCCATATTTCTGTCATATTTCCTTTTCATCCTGTTCTGATTCCTTTCATTTTCCTTCTTCTCTGTTTCCTTTCCGTTTTCCCCCTTCTCTGGCACCCTTTTTTTACCTTCTTTTTTTTATTCCTTTCCATTTCCTTATTCTCTGCTTTCTTTCTTTTACCACCTTCTTACTTTCATTTTCTTTCTCTGATTCCTTTCTTCTACTTTCTGCTTCCTTTCATTTTCCTCCTACTTTGCCCGTTTTAAATTTCTTCCTTTCCTGCATCCTTTCCCTTTCCTTCTTCTCTGCATCTTTTCCTTTTACTTCTTTCCTGCTTTCTTTCCGTTCACTTCTCTACTTCCTTTCCTTTTTCTTTGCTTCCTTTCTTTTTCAACTTCTTTTTCTTTTCATGCTTCTCTATTCCTTTTTTCCACCGTCTCTACTTCCTTTCATTTTCCTCCTTCCTCTCTGCTTCCTTGCATTTTCCTCCTTCCTTTCCTTTCCTTTCCTTTCCTTCTGCTCTGCTTTTTTCCCTCTCCTCTTTCTCTGCTTCCATTCTGTTTCCTTTCTATTATTCTTCCTTTCCTTTTCCTCCTTCTCTGATTCCATTCTGTATCCTCCTTCTTTGCATCCCTTTCCTTCATCTGCTTAATTTCTTTTTCTTCTTTCTCTGCTTCCTTTCTTTTTCCTTCTCTGTTCCTTTCTTTTTTCTTCTTCTCTGCTTCCTTTCCTTTCTTTCCTGCTCTGCTTCTTTTATTTTTCCGCCCTCACTGCTTCATTTCCTTTTCCTTCTTCTATGCTTCCTTTCCCTTCCCTTCTCTTCTGCTTCCTTTCCTTTTTCTCTCTTCTCTGCTTCGTTTCTTTTTCATCCTCCTCTGATTCATTTTCTTATCATTCCTCTATTTCCTTTCCTTTCCCCCTCCTCTGCACCCTTTTCTATTCCTCCTCCTTTCCTTTTTCCCTTTCTCTACTTCCTTTCCTTTTCCCCTTCTCGGATTCCTTTCTTTTTCTTTCTTCTGTGCTTTCTTTCCTTTTCCTTCTCTGCTAACTTTTCTTTTCCTCCTCCTCTGATTCCTTTCTTTTTGCTCCTTTCCTTCTTCCTTTCCGTTTCCTCCGTCTCTATTTTTTTCCTTTTTCTTCTACTTTGCTTTCTTTCCTTTCTTCTCCTCCTCTGCTTCTTTTCCTTTTTCCTTCTTCTCTGCTTCTTTTTCTTTTCCTTCTTCTCTGCTTCCTTTCCTTTTCTCTCTTCCCTGTTTCTTCTTCTTTTTCCGTTTTTAGATTTTAATTGATGACATTTCAATTTCTTCTTTTTGTTCTTGACTAATTTTATTTACTTAACATTCTATTTTGTCAGTTGTCACACTTTTTCCACTTCCTCGTCATATTTTTAGTTTCATTTACTTTTTCTTATTAACCATCATTACCATTTGTCTTCATCTTCTTCTTCTTCTTCTTCTTTAGGCACATTGTTTTTATTTTCATCCATTTTCCATATCCACACCCTGTATAATCACATTAAAACGTAAAATGTATTTTTAATTTTGCATATAAATTATATCTACCTCCTAAATTCACCCAACCAACACTAAGTAGATCTTTCGTATCATATTAACCTAATTCATTACATAAGCAATATCAGATTAGCTTTTATATATATGACATGATATATAGATGCATGTGTGTGCAAGCAAGCGCGAAAGCGCGCGCGTGTGTGAGTGTATTTCTGTCTTTTTCTTTTCTTTTTTTTTTTGTTTTTATATGCTCTGACGTGAAACAGGCTTGTTGACGATGTGCTGCTTACGTTAAACGAAAAGTTTTCAATGTACGCCGTGTTTATGTATATACAGGTACGCATACTGGGATGAATTTATATTTATCCATAAATCAATAAATCACTGTTTACATATGTGTATCAATGTATGAGTATAAATATATTCATGCACGTGTGAAAATGCCGCCGTCTTCATATATCTTCATATGTATACGTACACACATACACACACACATATATATATATGTGTGTATATATATATATATATATATATATATATATATATATATATATATACATACAAGGTAACCAAAATGACCTGGCCGTTTTTTATTTATTAGAAAAAAAAGATATATAGTAAACTTGAGATACCTTTAGTTTTCAAAGTAATCCCCATCGACATCCAGAACCTTTTTTCAACGTACAGTGCCACGAGATGCACAAAGCCCTGGCCTTAAACATCAGGTGTCATGGACGAAAAGAAGTTTTTTAAGTGCTTGCAGCAATTTTTTGAAGGATTTCCCACGAATGTGGTTGTCCGGGGAATAGAAGCGGTGGCAATATGTTGGCGCAAATTGGATGGCACAGTGTCTACTAGCCAAGCCGTCGTATGGAATCCCTGGTCACCCGCATCAGGTCTGACATTGTCTTGGAGGAAAAGTACACCCTTGGGATTAACCAACGATGACTCCTTCTGCTTCAATTCCTGTTGCTCACGTTTCAACTGCTGCGAGTACAGGTCCGCCGTGATGGTTTGAACTATTGATAGCAGCTTGTCGACTCGTCCGCAATATACATGTTTTTGCGTGGGTGTAGAGGTGGTCCCTTGGTGACAATCAATGTCTGACATACTTGGGAGTGTCATACAGGACTCACTTTTCGTCACTGGCGAACATTCGACCAAATATGGGTATTTTGCGCTGCCGAGAAATCACCTTGAAACTGGTTGTCACTCGTTGTTACTTGTTGGCTTCCAACAATGTGTGAGGTACCCACTTTGCTGAATTTTGACGCCTTCTCTGTGCAGCACATGTGAAGTATGATTGTTTTATCAGAAATATGGAAGCATTCGGCAAGCTCACCGCAGTTTTGGCTGTTGTCCTCCACTATTTCCGCCTTCAGGGTCTCATCATCTAAGACCTGTAGCTGACCACTGCGGGGTTCATCAAAGAGGGGCAGATCTCCTGACCTGTACTCCTGGGGCCAATGCTTAGCAGTTTCTGACTTTTGCAGTTATACACTTAACATTTACAAAACTTTTATATTTGATTCTTTATAATAAAGCATGATTAATGGAAGAAATGTAGAATAATTCTTGTCAATGGAGAAGTAGAAATGATGATAATTCTCTCTATATTCTCAACTTACACCTTGAAAAAGACTTAGGGAAGATTTTGATTGTTTTGAAATGTTATAATACACGATCAAGTCAGATTACAATTCAGTTAAATAACAATGTACATAGTGATACAATTCTTCTGTATATATATATATATATATATATATATATATATATATATATATATAAAAGTTGCTATTATTCCCAAACTTCATCGTCTCAAGTTTCACACGTTAGTTTATAGTCCATAGAACTGTGACGATTCAATTGGAATGGGAAGATGTTAATAGACCTACAAGACGGTACGAATTTTTACTTAACTCCGAGCAACTTTTTATTGCTTTATTCATATGCGGAGAATTTTAACAAAGTCTCACTTTATAATTTAAAGTAAGAAACAAAAACAAAAAACAATGGGGAGTGTTTTTCAAGGAATCGTTTATTTATTGAAGTTGGTTTATTGTAATTCCTTACAAATATAAATTTTGATTCCCAAATGAAATGTCACATTTGAAACAGACATCGCTGGAAATTTGAAATTAAGTTTTAAATAATCAAATAATTTCTAGATTGTTTAAAAGATAATTTCTTTAATTATTTTACTTTAGCTTTCATTGTCATAAAAATAAGTTCTTAATATCCAACATTTGTGTCATTTACGCTGTTTTTTGCTTACGCCGTTATCAGGGCTTCAGCTGAATGCAGTTGTCTCCCTTGAAATTGAATTACTTCTACTTTTGCAATCTATACAAAATGAAAATACGTAAGTGTGAAGATCTAATAGAATAAAATTCATATGGAATATTTAAAATCAGAATAGAAAAAAGAAAATCGAATTGTAGAATTTGCTTGTAAATCAGAAAATAGTTATTTAGAACAGTTTTATCAAAAGTACAATTTCAGTAAATTTTATCAGTGCTAAATCACGTAAAACATTAAGAAAATATAATAAATCGTTTTAAAAAGTGTTAGAAACAGTAGAAAATATTATCATTGTTAATTTAATGAATAAGCTAATCTTCACCAGTTATGTAAGGAAACTGATCACTTAAAAATGACCTGATATTCAAGATTTCGTATCAAGCATTTTTTTTCAATATGTTTGGCTGGAAAATGGCTGTCAGTTAAAAGAGAGTTTATTCCTATTAACAGCCTATATACGGCCAGAAAGATAAGTTTAATCTTGAACATGTTGCCAGAAAAATCATGAAAAAATATCGAATGCTGTGGATAAAAAAGAGAAAATTAGAAATAAGAAAGGAAAAGATACAAAGGAGAGACATAAAAGAATAAGAAGGAAGAAAAAAGAAGCAAAAAATATAGAAAAAATTGAATGAAAAAAAAATGAACATAAGAAAAAGAGAAAAGGAAGAAAATAGAAAAATAGTGAAAGATAAAAGGGAAAAAATAAAGATAATGAAATGAAAAGAGAACAAAAAGCAGAATAAAAAACAAATTAACTTATACTTCAAACAAACCAGCTTTTAACACTAAGATTTATTTCTCTCTCTCTCTCTCTCTCTCTCTCTCTCTCTCTCTCTCTCTCTTTTCTTTCCGACGAGTGTGGGGAGCAAAATATTGTCTAACAAGACTTTCTTCATTTATTTTTCGGTCTTTTGATGCTTAGCTATTTACTTTTGCTATGTGTCGATTCGCCTGTTTGTTGCTTTTTACTAGATTATTGCCACTTTGTTTACATTCTTTCACACCTCGGTTTATAGAAATTTATTCTTAGAATATAAACCCTAACCCTTAGGGGTGACCTTGGAAAACGACTTGGGCACTGATTTTCGTCTCTCTCTTTTTTTCTCTCTCTCTCTCTCTCTCTCTCTCTCTCTCTCTCTCTCTCGCTATATATATATATATATATATATATATATATCCACACACACACACACACACATACATATATATATATATATATATATATATATATATAAACTTCATCTGAGAATGAGATATGGAGAAAAAATAAAATTTGAGTATAGACGCCCTGTTTTTTTGTTTTTTTTTTTAAAACAAAAAACAATGTAAATTACGTTTAGAGGCATAAGCATTCGAGAGATGATAAAGATTTTCTCTTCGGCAAGGTTCGAACCTGAATCTCCCTTTGTAGCAAAAAGCATCGTTTGATCCGCTCGGACATAGAATTTTTCTGATCCCGTAAAAGAAATAGAATTTTCTATTATTTAAAATTTGAAAAATAAAATAGCATAATATATAGGGTGATTGAAAAGTAACTATCTACTATCTAAGTATGATTGACTCTCCCGTCTTGTAAAAATTATAGATAGCCAGGAGAGTTACTTTTCAATCCCCCCTTGTACATTAAATTATTTTAAACCCACACATTTTTAACAAGTATATAACACGGAGAGCCATTTTGTAGTACTTTTATTTTACGGTATAGAAAAACTAGTTAAACATATTTTTAAACATATTTGCTTCGGACTTGTGGTAAAATATTATTTCTAAGTTTCTGTTTTAACTATTATGAAGAAAGCATGTAACGAAGCTGATATAAAATATCGTACTAAAATAGATTGCTGCGTACGTGTACGCGCGTGCGCGCGTGTGTGCGTACGTGTACGCGCGCGTATGTGTGTGTACGCGCGTATGTGTGTGTACACGCACGTGTGTGTACGTGCGCGCATGCGTGCGTGAGTGTGCGAGTTATATTAAAAGGTTCCATAATATAATGTAAGATAACACCCAAAGGCATAACGGGATGTGAGAAATGATACTCGGTCATCAACAGTCAGGTATCAAGTTTGGGAAGAACACGAAATAGGAGACATGTGAAATTAAAAGTTGATTTATTTGTTCAAGTCTGCTTTCAAAATCTGTTGGCTATCATTATTGCAACTTTCTATTATATGAGTATCACCAGGAAAATTATATTAATGTAAAATTAGCGTAACACAGTTGTGCACTGTGTGAAATACACGATCAGATATTTAACAATTGACAACTATATCACTGTCTCTAAGTTAGCTTCGAAAACGTATGATGATGTCAACAATACAATGGACTGAACGTAACAGTTCAATGTACAGCAAACAAGTATTAGGATGTATCTATAAAAGTACCAACATAACATATCTTTTTAGCGGCATATTAACCTCTATGGGTTATATAATAGATCTGGTAACAAAAGATGTGATGACGTGAATATAATATGCAACCATATAACTATTGCCAACGATCTATAAATGATGCTGATTCACCCATTAGCGGACATGATTCAGTAGAATAAAAAAAAAAGAAAGAACGATATAAGAGAACCATGAATATTTTATTCCAAAAATCTATGAAGACGTGTTGTTATTGGCATTACTGTAAAAATTATACCAAAGTATTTTCCTCTGAATTATCGGTAAAACCTGAGGAGAGGTTTGGTGCCCACGTGCTCGGACTGGAAGTATGGGGGAGCGTAACATTCTTTGATGGACGCGGGGAAGGGTGATGCCAAATGTCCCTGATGTCATGACTCGACGCAATGTCTTCTCAATGTGCGGGTAGCTGGTGGAACATTTCTGCGTGCGTGGATGGCCACCGGGTTCATCAAGCGCCGGGAAAACACAGTCAAAAAAAGATGAGATAATCAAGTTGGCGACACCCCCACTCAAGCAGATGATGATGGAAAACTGTGGATAGAGTGTGACAGGAAGATCTTGCCCGGGCGACTGGTGTGTGAACGGATCTGAAATCAACGTATGGGTCAATGCAAGCTCCCTAGCGACGGGAGTTCCTGCTGGAAAAGATGGATCAATGTTGGAAGACGCATGCTAGCTTCGGCCAACAACCGACGCCAAGCATATTAATTTGGCTAAACTAGATGCAGCAATCAACGGCCTTAAATTGGCCCTCGAGTAGTAGGCAAAGAGTTTATAAATAAAAACCTATTACTGGCTGTCTGACAACCTCTCAACCAAACTAGGGTACGTACCAAACCAGCGAACGAGATGCTGGTGTAACAGAAGTTGAGCACAAAGTAGGAACTGGCCCAAAGTAGTTGTCTGTCGACGTGGTGCTAGTCGCTTCCAACCAGAACATGGCAGACAAGATGACCAGTGTACCCCAAAGTTGGCTCAATATGGCCAAAAAGGGTGCTGAACTTTGTGCAGCAGATGTATACTGCTTCCCTGAATGCCATGAGTCCCAGTCAGATAATAAAAATACATCAACGCAGTGGGCATCCAGGAATGCGGCATACTACATATTTTGTGAGAAGAGTTTTTCCTTCTGTGATAAAGGCCATGGTACAATCGGTCATTGAGACCCGTGTGGAGTGCACAATAGATCCTGCGTTAGTCCATTGGCAAGAGGGCATAATGGAAGTGAACAGTACTTGGCGCGTCACGTTTTCCTTTGTGGGAGCCTTTACGCCGCCAAGACTCACTGGATATCATACGTCATCTGGAGTCGGTGTTCTGTGAGATGGGATCACCACAATGACACAGCGTTCCGCAGCAGGGAGTTCCGGACATTTGCCGAAGGATGGGACGTGCATTTGCAATTCCGATGCGAGCATGTCCCGGCATTAAATGGAATAACAGAGCGGTGTCACAGAAGTGTCAAGAGAATTTGCAGCCAGAATGAAATGTATTGTTGCAAAGATGACACCTCACCACTGACTGCACCTGCAAATCACGTCTACAGATACGAGGTTCGACTTAAGGGATTGATTCAGAGCATCCAATTATGTCTGAGGAGGGCCACAAAGAGTACAAGGTGGGAGACCCTGTGTGGGTAAAATCCCCACACAACCGGTGTACAACAACTTTCAGAGAGGGAGGAATTACTGGACTTGTTAGTCCGCAATATCAGTCTTGGTAAACGGAATACCACGACATATCAGGGACTTTCGTCCTTCATTGAATTCACGATCTTCATCGAGTAGTTAAGATGATATGTCCGAAAGTGAGGTGAAAATCCTTGTGAGCGTGGATAAGTCTGATGATTACACGTAGGAAGAATCAGGTGGAGACGAGGGAGAGAGATACGAAGCAGCCTCCCTTCAGAGAAGCACTCGACGGAAGCGAACCGTTCGAAACTGTCGTATCTATGATCATGAGATCAGGGCGAGTGTAGCGAACGAGCGTCGGTACAGACGCAAAAAAAAAGGCCCAGGATCGCGTGTGGACATGTTTTGTCAGCATCACTTACATCCGGGTTTTCACCGTTAGCAGTGGGACAGTTCAGTTTGGCATGTCTAGATATGGGCCACTCTGCAACTGGTCATGGTCAGGATCTTTCTAAAATGCCTTATGCTAATAAAATAAACGGGAAAACCAGCAGCTGACAGTTGGCAAGACACGGTGTCTTGTGAAGTCGGTCCTGTGGGTATTTTGTTCTTAAGGTTACTGTGGTTTCCGTAGCAGTGTTATTTTTTTATTTTCCCTCTCCACCTCCGTAGTTGCTGGAAGAGTACTCAATTAGGTGTCTTCCACAATCTCAATACACTCTTCCCATACTTTACAACAGTTAGTGAGAATAATAATAGCGATAATATCGACTCTGCTTAAGTTGTCGATGTTTCGATCTCGTTGTTGTTGTAACAGAAAGGCAAACAGGCCTCCATATTTACTTAAAATGAAATAAACATATGCAGATTAGAAGCTTAGCTAGCCTGAGTTGGAGAGATATAGTCTTCCAAAATCATCATATGTAAATTGATAGATGTATGATTTCCACTTACTTCGCTGCTTGTTTGACGCTTGCACTTGGAAAATCTTAATGGCTTCATGAATTGTACGCCTCCACAATCAACATTCGGGAACTTCTATATGGCAGGCAGCAAGAGACTATTTTAAACTATCTTTAAAGCGCTTCCTTGGTTTATACTGGGAACGAGTGCCGTAGAGCAACTCACCGTAGATAATTTAATTTGCTTGAGTATTCTACTGTCGGCATGGCCAATGACATGACTTGCCCAGCAAAACCTATGGCAGTGAATATTTTATTGGCATTTTCCGGGACCACACTATCTGGCGTGCGGATAGATATCCAGTAGATACTAATAATTGATCTTACAGCATTTGTGGAATCTCAACAAAACATCTAATTGTCTTTGGTACACAGCCTATGTCTCAAAGTTATATAGCAGGCACGTCAGTATATAAACATTGTAAACTTGAATCTTTGTAGACTTCTGAAAACAGATTCGATTTTTTAGAGTTGCAAAAAAATTAGTTGCCTTCCCTGCACGAACAGCTATTTAATCCTCAACAGTGCATACAGTGTCTGTATTGTCCAGGATGATAGTAAGGCCGAAAGCTTTGTAGGAACCAGAATGATTATCAAACAGAGCCTACATTTACCCTTTTTTAGGCGACCAAGTCAGAATTATCGGCATGCATAAGATCTTGGACAGAAGGTTAGAATATCTTAGATTTAGCAGAGAAGTGTCAGATGATGAACAGTTTACCAGCTGTACGATATTGAATATATATATATATATATATATATATATATATATATATATATATATATATATATACCCTGGTCAGTCCTTAAAGGCATAACGAGGAAGAACAGAAAAGAAAATAGATAACAATATCAGTGTTACAAGGTTACTTTGTTTGACACCATTTCGTACCATCAACGTTAACAGATATCTCTATATCATCATGAAATGACTGGGTGATACCTAAGTGGCGAGAACAGCCTAAGTGTCTCAAGATCATCCACAAAATTTCTTTGTTTACAGTCTGGAAGGCCTTGGCAAGATCTACAAAGACTTGAAACAGGCCTTGTTATTGTTCATACGAATTCTCTTTGAATTTTCACGCTGTTAAAACCATATACAGCATTCACCTATTGGACCGGAAGTCACATTGATGTTCTGGTGTTATCGTATCCACATTCAGTAGAGACAGAAAAATCGTAATGCTACACCACGATAATGTACACACAGCTCCCTTATACCTATGGTATCATGATCGCATCTCTCTAGTCCTTTGAAACTCTACCAGCATTTTCAGGTGTCTAAGGTGTTTCTATGCATGATATCAGCCAAGCGATCATCGCCATGCCGAAAGATTTCAGCAACTTTCTGGTAAATACTTTTCTTCCAAAGTTGGAGGATCATTCGTATATGCAGATTCCTCGTTAGGCCTTTGCTGAAGGTGGTTAAGAGCAGACTGGTCTACGTGGTTATCCCTGTTGAGCACACCCAAAAAGTATTCTTTCGATCTATTATCGATTTCCACCAGGCTAATAAAGAACTTCATGCCATCTTTTGATCTAAAAGACGTTACCGAGGCTGTTCTTGTGTCAAAAACCTGCTTTACAGCTCTTTACTGTTTAACTGCATGCAATAGCCTGCATTTCTGCGGTTAATTCAAACAATGAAGCCTCCGCTGATCATTGAACTTTGCTACTTAAACTGTGCTTCTTATCTCTTACTCTGTAACCCTCTATCTCGAGTGGTTCTTGAGCCTTGTTCAAGGTGAACATCATTGTAAAAGAATACCTAACTGTTGTTTTGTGTCCGTTGGCAGTCCTTTTTGTAGCGTGCATTCTCGTATCTTGTTCCTAACTGAAGATAGCTTATGCTGTACTAATCAGTTCTTTACTTTTCTTAAAGAAGAAAGTGGATGAACGCGTAAATAAACAAATGCGGGGAGAGAAGTGTCGCTGATCTATGATTAGCATGCTATTCATAACCTATTTCATTTTATCTATGACCTTTATCTCGAAGTTACCTTAATCCAACAAATATCGACTTTGATGCAATTCGTTCTGGTATGTTAACAAAGCCTGCAGATGACAAGCAAACCTAAAATGAAATCATTGTCTATTCTTTTCTCATTTCCAATTTTATCAGCTCTATTTTTGGCCTTACTTACTTTCTTATTGTTTTTCTAACATTTCTATTGTTATTACATCGTTATCGTCACTTTTCTATTATTTGTTATTCCTTTTAATTGTTTTTAGAAATGACATTAACTGTCCACTAACTATGATCTGTGTACATCATAACTGACTGGAGAGGCCTCGTCAGTTGGGCAGATTATCTTTAACCAAATATTATTGGCAAATTATCTCATTGTTTGCGAACTCCGCTATTTCCGTTTTTACCTCTACTATCGCTGCTTGCCCACCTTGACACTTGCGCACTTATGTCTATCCCTCCTTCCCTCTTTATCTCTCTCTCTCTCTCTCACACACACACACATACTAGCTACCTAGTTAGTGATCTAGCTATCTTTTCATTACAAAGAGAAAACTTTCTCTTCTTGCATTTATTCTTTTCTCGTCTGATTTGTCTTCTACTGCTGCTGCTGTTGCTACTGCTGCTGATCTTTGTTTCGTTATAGTCACTGCATTTTATCTTTCTTTTTTTTCTCTCCGCCATATTTAATTCTCGCCACAATTTCTCTCTTATGCGTATCTCTTGCCATAGCGGCTTTTCTCTGAAACGAAAAAAAAAAAAATGAAAAGATAAAAAGAAAAAAGTAACTGAAAAAGGGATTTAACTATATCTTTTTCATTTTCCCGTTTTTTAATGTTTTTTCATATTTTTTTTTCCTTTTTGGTCTTAAATTTCTTTTCTTTCCTTTGTTCTTTTAATTGTTTTTTATTTTCCACTTTTTATCTACAAGTTGTTTCCCATCAAATCACATCATCTTAACGTTTAATCCTCTGTCATTTCTTTGTTGTGGTCATCTATTCCTTTTTTTATTTTTGATTCTCTTTTTACTTTTCATGGACGCACATTTCCCCAACGGATAGTTCACTGTTTAAAATGTGTAAAGTAGGGTTAAATGCATTTAGAAAATTGAAATGCCTATAATGAAAGGTAAAAATGATCGAGGTTTTAAAATCGATAACGGAGCACATTTCTACAAAAGCTTTACTATAACAGTTCTTCCACTTTACTGCTTTCGCCGGCTGGCATTATAATTTTATCGTTCACATTTGATAGATACTCACTGTAGATCCAAACTGGATGTTACAAATATATTCCAAATTATTCATATAGCTTAGTTTTCGGTTTCATTAGATAGCACGGACAAAATAATCTGCGTGAGATATGAATCAATGTGCTGATAAAATATTTCCCTTTGCAATAACTAATAACAATATTTAGTGATAACGATTACATAAGTCTGTTAGTTTTTCTTTGCAATGAGAGACAAATCTTCGCTTCATCATTAAAATTATGAAACATTTTTATAAGTGAGATAATCGATATGATAAATTGAAGACAAAAGCGATGAAAAGAAAAGGTTTTACAAAGTAGTTAGGCAGAAAATAGATTTAGAAGGTATGTGCGTTCATATTACCAACTGAACATAAAAGAAAACCGCGAAGAACAAGAAACAGGTTTAGCTCAATAAAGAAAATTAAGGGCGAGTATGAAAATAAAAAGAGAGAGAGAAGTAAGTAAGAAAGAGATTGAGAGAGAGAGGGGGGAGAGTAAAATGTAAATCAAAAGAAAGAAAGGAAGAAAATGAAAAAGGAAGATGGGGAAGATGTATAGGATGGTGAGGGTTTGTCGACAGTTAAAAAAGGTGCGAATTGATT